GAGAGAGAGAGAGAGAGAGAGAGAGAGAGATAGAGAGAGATAGAGAGAGAGAGGGAGAGAGAGAAAAGACGCAACCCTGTCAGAAACGACGCTGTCATGACACAGCTCATAAAGTTGGTGTTAATCCTTTGAAAACAAAAAGTTAAATTTCTTTGTCCTAGCAATGTATAACTCATTGCTACAAAAGTCGATAACTTTCTTTGTCCGTACAAGACTGAGAGGCTGACACGGGGTGCATTTTCTTTGTTTTGAGAAACGTAAACAAAGAGAAATTTTGTTTGACAAAAAGTTAACACCCCTCACTCCCCCCGCCTGCCTCCGGTCACAAACCGTGTGAACAGCCCTAACAACGACGACATTGTTTGTGTAAATGTGTTGGAAACAATACGCCGAATTTTCTCTTTCTCACAACATTGGATAACTTTTAATGTTCACACACACATGAAAGAGAGGCGCTACATAGGATGTGTTGTGTCTGCTTTTTTAAAACTCACAAAGCTGTCCCTGTCGTTTTATGTAAGAAAAATTATGAAATTATGCAAATTGAGCCCAAAAATCAGAAATTATGCAATTCTGTTAATTTTTAACAAAAAATGATTAAGGAAAATAATCAGAAAATAAGCAAATTTTTTTGAAACAAAATTTGGCTAAATTATGCAGGGGTGCATAAAACCACAGGGACAGACAAAGGGACATTTTGTAACAACGTGGACGATGAGAATTTAGGAGTAATAGAGATTTTTACTTTAGCTTTAACTTCGGTTGTTTTGTGTTGTTTGATTGTCGTTTTTTACGCTTTTATAGATTTGCATCTAAAAAAATAGCAATTGTTATAGATAAGACTAATACGAGACCGAGATAAAGGCCAACTTGAATACACATGCATTTTATAATCTACCTTTTTCCCCCACGTTCAGACAGCATCAAACCATAACAATATAATAAGCTCTATGATATTCATGACAATCACATGGTATTGTTTATATTACTGTTCTCTTATATTATGCATGTTACTGTAAGCCTATTTGTGAGTGCAAGCATACTGCGCGCGCGCGTGCATGAGTGTGTGTGTGTGTGTGTGTGTGTGTGTGTGTGTGTGTGTGTGTGTTTGTGTGTGTGTGTGTGTGTACGTGGTGG